TACATATGGCTGTAACATTACCTATTTCTTGGCAGAATTAGATTAGATTTATATGCATTTCCAAATCATTCAATATTTAATGTAAGTACCTATCTGCCAATACAGCAGAAATGCTGTACCTACTACGCTTTTTCATTCCGCTTGTGTGTTGTGCCAATATGGTTTGTCGAATAAATTTCATGTGGCAGGGCAGTAGAGGTTGTGGGATTTCAGTGGTTCTATGATCAAAGAAATATGCAATTTGGAATCTGTCAATTTGACACAAGAAAGTTTTTTTGTGAGCTATGTAAGGGGTGATCAAAAATGAGTTGCTACCGAGTCACCTTTGGAAGTTCAAGTTAAATACGATTTCCCATGTAAGCAAAAGTTCCAAAGGTGACTCGACAGCAACTCATTGTTATTAGACGAAGAAACCTGGCGGCATAACCAAATGTTGCCACCAGTTATTACATGGGCAGCCAGTCACGCCACTGGCAGCACAGCCAGAGATTGTTTATTCAATGCCTAGCGACCATTCTTAGCCACCAGTGGTGTTCAGTCTGGTCACGGGGCCACCGGTGTCCTTAGTGTAATATAGGTCCGTAAGAACAAGTGCCCAGCAAAGTAAATCTTAAGGTCATAAGGCACTTAGACAATACATATAGGACCGCGAATTGCAAAAAAATATGGTCAAGAACAATAACAATTAAACGCGCCTGTTCGAAGTTGTCCAATCAGACAAGTTTTGAGATTGTCAAAGTTGAAATTAACAAACGTCAATTAATAAATCACGTAAATGTGCCAAAAAAGCAAACAAAGATAATAAAGAGTATTTAAACCTTCCCGTACTACTCGGTTGGTATAGAAGCTGCCCTTTAGGTGATCAGAGTGGTGTTCACACGATTTGTTTAGTTTACCCTGAGATTCACATACCTACCCACGACTACACAGTTCCCCCTATCCGTGATCACCCATTTTGTATTGAAAGCATAGGGTTAATGGCAGTTCATGTACTGCACTGATCTAACAGTCTACCTGATGTGGTTGTGGTAGACAGGTTTTTAAGTCGGTTGTTTTTCAGCCACGTAAGCTAACGGGCCAAAAATTACAGCCCAAAAGATGACACCTCGAATAAAAGTACAAAACCATTGATTATGGTGTGTATCATAAATGGTAAAACTAATGCAGATTCAAAAAATTTTGTTTTACAATATATAATAATAAATTAAACAATTAATATAGCAAACGAGCTCCTGGGTATGGCTACAGCATGTATAAAACCAAATTTTAAACCTGATGTTAGTTTTGCTTTTATTTAAAGTTTCTGTTATCAAATTTCATAAATAAGAAAGTTGGCACTGCGCATGCGCAAAACTAATTTTTGAAACGCGTTAAATTTGCTTTTATTCCAAGTGACTATGCTTCAAATTTCATTTAAATCGCTCCATAAATAAGAAAGTTTGCAATTCGGTCTGTGAATGGTCGAGATGCGCAAAGGGCACTGTGAATGATGGTCAATTAGGCCGAACTTTTGGAATTGTGTTTTATATGGCTAAAGCTATGCGCATATTGAATTTCATGCAATTCGGTTCTTAACTAATGGAGATGTCAAAAGGGCCTACTTTATTTTTTGGTCTACATTGTCAATTCACGAACTCCGATCTACAAATTTGATAAAGAATCCACCTGCAAAATTTCATCGTAATCGATCTTAGACCATATAGTACATAAGTACATGGACTGCTATTCGCCCTATGCTTTCAATACAAAATGGATGGTCACGGATAGAGGGCACTGTAGTCGTGGGTATGTGAATCTCAGGGTAAACTAAAGTCGTGTAAACACCACTAGGATCGCTTAAAGAGCAGCTTTATAGTATCCGCGTAGTACGGGAAGCTTTAAATACTCTTCAAAATTTGCTATACGTCCACAAATAGGAATAAGTTTGCTTTTTTTGGGATATCTAGGCGATTAATTAATTGACGTTTGTTAATTTATAGGTTGACAGTCCCAAATCGTGTCTCATCGGACAACTTCGGACAGACTCGTTTACCCTGAAACTCACATACCCAGGCGATGTCCTTGACCATATTTTAGTTACAATTAGCAGTCCATGTACTATATGGTCTAAGTAATCGATCCATTCGATTATGGATCGAGTTACCGTGCTAACGGACGGACGGACAGATACCGCAAAATTATAAACTCGCTAGGAGCTCGTTAATAATAATAAGCCTTTATTTGTCCGACCGACAGAGTTGTAGTGTACATAACACATAACATATTATTGTATAGGCTTTGAATATATTTTCAAACGTATAGGAACGAAAGGCTGTGCATTACCCGCCTCGTTTTTAAAGAACGAATACTAAACCAACAAAGCAACTCATTTTGATTGACACCTCACCAAGCACCTCCCTGTAGATATGTACCGTCGATTTTAGGTAAATGACAAGAATTTCGGGAACTTCCTCCTTTTTAGAGTTAGTATCACCAAACCAATCCTAACATAGATAAAGCAGATTGTGTGATTTCCTGAACATATTGCGCAAAATCGAAATTTTGAACAACCCAAACACCCAAATTTTTAATGGATGAACGTCTCTCTAATTCGGTAAAATTGATTACATAATTAAAGGTAATAGGTTGCGTTTTGTTAGTATACGAAACAATACGTACAGCACTTTGTTATATTTAGGAATAAACAGTACATATTACACCATTCTTCTAAGGTAGTTATAATAGTTGATGTTGCAGCTCAAGCAATCATCAGGGCAGGAAATCGCAGAATAGATTTTCAAATCATACGCAAAGAAATCGCCGGAAGTTGTGTTTGAGAGGTCGTTTATGAAAAGGAGGAAAAGTAGAGGTCCCAAATTGGATCCTTGACGTACCTACACCATGATGTTGCGATGATAGGTAGCGAAATGTAGTTGTTGTATATTACATGTTGAGCACCATTGGCTAAATATGAATTAAAGAATTTCATGAAACTCAAAGTTATGCAATTTAGCGGCAATAATGTCATGGGGAATGCTGACATTGAACATTGACGTGTTATAGCGCGTTCGAATTTGCACATGCAGTATGGTAGCGACGTAGCACCCGGGGCCGAGAGAATATTAGCCGCCCCTATAAAATCAAACTTGTTACCCCTAAAAAGTAAAATAACGACAAAGCGCCACTTCGCCGATGCCGCCCTTTAAGGGGTCGCCACATTGAACGCGGTCTGCCGCGCGGGCCACCGCTGGTGGTCTGCTGCGTTGAATTGTTTAATGCTTTTCTTATGAAGCATGTCACATAGGACGCGGTAGACCGCTTGTCCAGTCGCGATCCGTCGCGCGGGCAGATTTGAATCGCCTCGCCAACAATTTCTGGCGGTCTGCCGCACGCGGTCTCCAATCAGAAATGAGACATCAGAGTGGTACACTCAGGCAATAAAAGTGTTTAGTCAGTCGCCGAGTTGTCTTCGTTGTTGATTAATCTTGTGCACCCAGCAGTGCCTTCGCGGTTCACTATCAAAGGTAGCTGCGAGCAACAATAATTCCTTGTCAGAGGAAGAACTTTGATATTCATTTATGCTTACTAAGCAACGAACGAGATTATACTAATCAAATTTTGTTGCGAACCGCGGCATGGAACGCATCCTGTGTGACATACTAGACCGCGCGGCAGTTCGCAAGCGATTGCCCGCGGCGGGCAAACCGCGTTCAGTGTGGCGACCCCTTAACTCATGCTTTTCGTTGCCGCCCCCGGTTCGCTACGCGCGCCGCTGGCTTATGGACATACAATACAATGACAGCACATTCTAAGGTTTTCGCAAACCGACGCGATGCAGGAAATTTTACTACAGCAGGATATGCGAGCACGCACACTGATGCGGCGGTTGTTCGCATGCGTTAAGGTCCACGCAAACAGACGCGGACATGCGGGCTCGGTACATATGCGGGATATATTTCTACAGCGGTATATGCGTGCGAACCGCCGCATCGGTGTGCGTGCTCGTGCCTGCTGTACCGCTCCCGCGTCGGTTTGCATAAACCTTCACTTATGCTGTTTTAATACATTAATTATCTCAGTGCGGACTGCGGTGAGGTAAAAGGATAGCAGTATCGAAGAATATCACAAATTGGTAAGAGGCATTTAGTCCATAAGACTCGATACTGCATCTGGAGGTACGCAGAATAGATGAATCTTGACTGGAAATAAGATACTGAATTTAATGCTCGGTATTCCCCAATGGACCTCTTAGTAGAAACAAAATGACATTGAAAATTAGTTACTCGAACAAGCATTCTTTAGAAAACATGGTATAAATAAATGTTTTATCGCTTTATACATAATTTATTAAATGATGGCTGTAAACGATATATAACTAAGGATTAAAAACTAAACTAATATAAACGTACGACAACGAAGACTGCCTGCCAATTTCTATATAAAGAGTGAAATAAAAGTGGAAGCAATCTTATAATTTTTACATAAATTAAATTATAACGAAATGAACAATTTATAACATGAGAAATCACAAATAATATTATAAGCAGACACAAAATTGATAACCATAATATATTTTAATCACTGTTTTAGAATATTACACTTGAGTTTTTTTTATCATCAATTAAATAAAAGCGTTTTTCACGATCACGAAAATCACTAATTGTTTAAAGAAAAACTTTCGAGTTTTTGCAACAGTTTCTAACAAAGTAATTGCACATCGAAACAATTACTAAACATGCAAGGTGGTTTGAGTCTTTTTATAAACAAACTAGCCCAAATTACTGGCCTACTATTTCACACACACCTGGGAAATAAGAATTATTAAAGGTTATCACAGAGCAGTAAATACCCAGATTGTTAGAATGCTAAATTATCAAGTATGCCTACTTTGGTTTCGGTTTTAATATTAAGATTAGTTCTCGCTAATCTTCTGAACAAATATAACATTTCAAAGGAAACAAAAACCAAGCTGTTCATTAAGAAAAGACATCAAAAAACCTTACACATTTCAAATACTATAATATGGACCATTTTGTGGCGAGCTACACATCGTTTTGTCTTGTAAGTTTATCTAACCAACTTATGTTATAATAAAACCATCGAACGGATCTCAGTCAATTTTGATTGAAAAAGAGAAATAAGAGTACATTTTTATATCAGGCACTAATACACAAAGTGTAAATTTTGAAATTACAAGAGAAAATATGGGAGAAACGGGGGACAAACATCATTAAGATGTTTTTTTTACTTTATTACAAGGAGACTTGGGACTATTAGTTGACACAGTCTTGTGATCTCTAACCATCTTCCTTGGGAGGTGTGAACCAACCTGCACACATAAATCGTGTTACAAAAGTGTAAAGCAGTTTACTGATGATACATTACCATTTTTTTCATGAATTTGTACAAGAGATTTGAAGCTTTGTTGCGCTCGAGCCAAACTATACTGGCCTTGTGAACATACTTTTGTCGCTCCAAATTGGATACGTGCCTTTCCTTTAACAAGAGTGGCTGATATTTGCATAATCACTGCCTCAACGGTATAAGCACTTGACCATCCTTGTTTCGTTAATAGTTCCATACAGATGGCGCCCCCGACCAAGACGTAACCACCTGAAATTAACAAATTTCTGGCAACTCATTTATACCAAATGATCTACCTGATATAATTGGATGTACTACTCTAACAAAGGGAGGTTCAAATGGATAAGTGTCTTTAAAAAGCATATTTAACAATATGGCATCTTTTCCTTCCTTCTCTTTGAGCAACGCTAAATCGTGGCTAAGCGGGCTGTCGGGATCCACCGCCATTAACCTGACGTTCCACTCATATATGGAGTCATTTACTAATTCGATCTGGTACATCTTATTTTTAAACGAATCAGATCTGTATATATCTCTAAGTTCCTTCATAAGTCTATCTGTTGCCTGGACAGAGCCGGATACAGAGCCCTACAAATAAGAATGAAATACAACGCCGCTACAATTCCGCATATTACCTTTAAATAATCCTGTCGTTGATTTTGTCTTAGTCGTTCTAAGGTTGCTAAATGTTCAACGCACATTTCGTCTGCTTTATTGCGCCCATCTTCCATTTCCATAGCCAGGTCTTCATCTGCATCACTATCACCTGCTTCTGCGTCACTGTCTATCATGTCAGCTTCGGCGTCACTATCCAATCCTTCGTCTTCCATGTGATCACTGCCATTACTGAAGCTATCACTATTCGAAATACAAAAAAATTAAAATCATACCTATTTAATTATTACTATTTTGACACTACTACTTTGCATGATATTGTTCTCCATCTGCTCCATATGCTATTGACGCAACTAAAAATCCTGGTTAGGTTAGTAAATAATTGGGTTATGAAATGGAGAATCTTAACAACTTGATTTTTTGGATGTCGACTTAATCAAATGCGCATAGACATAGTGATGACAAACAGTTATATATTATACAAGATGGTTAGATTCCCTTTATCGTTGTATAATACAAAACTTTATTTTATAGAAGAAGCCAAATCATTATATAAGTTTTGAAACTTTTAAATTTTATTTAGACATCAAAAATAGCAAGCTTTAGGTTATCCCGTTGTTCCCACGGAATTAATGTGTGAAATAATAATGTTGTTCTGAGCATCATTTATTTCGTTCTCCGCGTCCAATTTTTAATAAGAAGGCACAATCATTTGTTTCACTTTATCTACCCTTGTCGTTAAAGTGATCACTTTATCTACTCTTACCGTTAAAGGGAGATTTAGCCTACCCATTCAAATAAGATAGATAAGGGGCCACCTGTTGGATATGGCGATCACACAATTTTAATTATACATAGAGAGTGTGTGTAGTAGTTGTTTTGAGAAAAAATAATGTTCTAATTTTACTTGTCACGTTAGGTACTTCAAATAAAGTTCTTTATCCGTTTTTATTGAATAATTCTTCATCACGCGGTAAATCCATTCAGTTCAATAGGTTATTGGCCCAGCGAGTGAAAATTAGTTCAATAGATATTGTTTTGAAGAAGTGACAAAGTATATTAGTAAGGTCCATTTGCGTGGAAATCAATTTCATTATTCACGAACGGCGAAACGAAGCAAATCTTACTAGGTAATAATATGGCTGAATTTAAAACGAAATTTGAAAAGCTGGATAATGTTCTAATTTTGCTTGTCACGTTAGGTACTTCAAATAAAGTTCTTTATCCGTTATTCTTGAATAATTCTTCTTCACGCGGTAAATCCATTCAGTTCAATACCACCTATGCGAGACAGTTACGTGACGCGCCAGACGTGACGTTCAAGTGCCACAAAAGGTCATTGTGGTTGTTCTCTAAAGTACAGATCAAAACGGACTTGTTAAAAAACAGGCCTGGTCATCAGAAACAGGTCTGATAATTAGAAACAGGTCATCAGAAACAAGTCTATTCACCAAAAACAGGCTTGATCATCAGAAACAAGTCTGTCCATCGGAAACAGGTCTGTTCATCAGAAACAGGTCAGTTTTACAGAAACAGATCAGTTGAATAAAAACGGGTCTGTTTCTGTTGAAAAGACCTGTTTCTGTGACCTGTTTCTGATGAACAGATCTGTGTTTTAACAGGCCCTTTTTTCAACAGATTTGTAGTTTAGACAACAACCCCGACGACTTTTAGTGAGTTTAGACCATGCTTGAACGTCACGTCTGGCGCGTCACGTAACTGTCTCGCATAGGTGGCCCCTTATCTACTAATATCAATTTAACATCTGCTATAAAATAAACTAATAACGAGTTTCCAACTGCCCACCAACATCGTTAGCGTTCTGGCTACCAATAATAAAAATATCTTCGACATTCTTATATGGTACTTGAGATCAACACAGATTCACATTTAATTCCAAAACCTAATTATTTTGCTCCTCTTGTGTTATCCTTTGTTTCTATTACCTTAATTACAGTGATCTGCATTGTGTTGTCTGTATAAGTTGCATTGACAGGCCTCTATGCATGAAGTCTGTGACCTATTGTTATCCGTTTATCGTTATATAGTTAGGGCTACCATGAACTTGATCCCGTTAAGGCCTTCATTAAAATTAAAAAAGGTAGTAGGATGCTATATTTATTGATGTTTAGCTTCTTGGTAAATGATTAATGTGGAGAAGGTTCATTACCATGACATGTCATTTTCCAAGGCTGCAATAGTCTGAAAACTTGAGCACTAGGAAAATTCCCCTAGAAAATAACTAAAACGTGCACATCATGGCCGCCCCAATGCTAGGGCCATTTCTATCTCTATGCAACTGTTTGATCAGCAGTCCATCTTAATTTATAAGTTCGTGCTCATTACATATAAAGGTCACCTCGCACACATCTACAATCTACATAATATGGGGCGAGTTTGTTTTCATTTTCACCAGGGAAACCCCATAAACGGTAATAGATACAAAGTCGCTTAAACAGGCAATTATGCAGAATTGTATGCTGATTAGTTTTCGCATTCAAAGTCTCTTATAACTACAAATAGCGAAGTTATGGCCAAAAAATAGTTTTCGCCTTAGGGCCAGTAACTTTAGAGCATTTTCCATGAATTGATTAGTCATTCCCAAAAGGTCATATAACTGTCTATGTGTATAAAGGAAAATAAGTTAAAGCATATACCGGGTGATTCATTAGAAGTGAGGACAATTTGAATTTCACGCAAATCAAAAAAATTATGAAGTTGGTACTAACTGATGATCTTTTATTTAATTGCAGTGGTGTATCATCATGCTTTCAGTAAATCGTTTACTTATTTATAATCTACAAATACTGCTTCTGTTTTACAACAAATTATAAACTAACACTAGACACAGTCACGTTTCCTACATATTTTAGTGCATCAACTCTAAAAATTGTTCAAAATGGAAAAAGTAATAAACCGCAAATGGCACACAACAATAAACGGCGACACTGGTTTTTTAAATGACAGTCATAACAGAACAAAATTACTAACGAAATTCAAACCGTCAATCTAATAATGCAAAAAATACTAAAACCTTATGCGCGAAATTCAAGCGATCATCACTTCTAATGAATCACCCGGTATATTCTCTTGAATAAGATTGCGCATGCACACACCTGATGGTTAAATATGCGCTACGTTGGCCTTTGAATGATCTTTGATTAAAATTTCAAGAAAATATCACTATAAATAAGAATCTAGATATTGCGCTTATGCGCATCCGCACGATTTTTAAAATATGCGATATGCCTGTCTTTACTAGAAGCATCTGTGATTAAAATTTCAGCAAAATATCTCCATAAATAAGAAAGTTGAGATTGCGCAGTGCGCGCATGTGCACACCTGATTTTTAAAATATACAATACGTTGCCCAGGGGCCAAGATCTTGATGAAACAGAGAGACAGACAAGGGAAAATCGAGCACATATTCACTATTCAAATTAATAATAATAATTAATATGACAGCCAGATCTTTATTTGTTTCAAGAAGTTATTTTGGTTGCATAAAATAGGCGTCTATCAGGAGATATTTTATCATGTAAAAGTAGACATAGGAAATCCCTATGTCTACTTCTACGTGAATATCACTGTATATCAAACAATTATATACAGGGTGATTCCTATAGTACCTGCCACCGTTTGGGAGCGTATAGGGGGTGCCTAGGGGAGTATTTTGATATAGGACACTTGGGGTCGGAAATCTAAAATAAGGGCGCCAGAACCAAATTTATCTTCTGGAATTTCACGCCTGTATGTAGGCAACCCAACCGACCGACGTTTCGCGCGGAGCGATGCAGAGCGAGTTAGCGCGAGGAAGCGACATGGGAGGGAAGGAGGGAAAACGACAGTCAAAAGCAATAACGTTTACAAGTGTTCAACGTGGCCACCGTTGTTCTCAATGCACTTCCTACATCTAGCCAACTATTATTATTATTATACTATTGCCATAGTGTTTATTCACTTGATACGCGTCGTTGCAGACGGGATTTCGTGGGTTTAAACAAAATTCTGATCAAGTGTCAGCCACACATCGCCGACTGAGATCGCTCCGTGTGCACCGCCGGCCGGTTGGGTTGCCTACCTACAGGCGCGAAATTCCAGAAGGTAAATTTGGCTCTGGCACCCTTATTTTAGATTTCCGACCCCAAGTGTCCTATATCAAAATACTCCCCTACGCACCACCTACACGCTCCCAAACGGTGGCAGGTACTATAGGAATCACCCTGTATGTACAGGGAATAAATAGACATGATCCTTAGTTGCCTAAAGAGTGGCCGGCAACAATCATGTGCACCTGCGTAACAGATACGGCGGAGAATTTTCTTTTGCAGGATGAGAACTCTGTGAAAAGCAGGAGAGTAGTTCCAGATGATGATAGTGGCAATGGATTAAACAACTCTCTATCTATGCTAATAAGCGAGATCTCTGTACTTAACACGAAATTTGATACAACCTGTATAGAGTCTTCAATTTAACAAATAAGGTACGGAGGAAGATAAAAAAAATTGTCGATTTCAGAATAAACCTATATTTTCTTAGTTAAAGGAGATATAGAAAGACGTTTCTAACAAGTTGCTTTATGACTGATGAATAATCTGTCGAAAGAATAAGTGTACGGGTTCAGGTACAAAAGTTGTATATTTTATGCGAAAAAGAGCATATTAAATTCGCTTTCCAAAAATATAACACTAAAGAAATTAAAAAAAGTTCAATATTAGCTCAAAAAGATTTTTCAAAAAATTTTTAAAAAAAGCAAATTTTTTTAATTCATTTTTACTCATGAATTTTTTTTAATCACATATTTTTCTAAATATCACCCCAATTTAATGTGTTATATATTTAAAAAGAAAAGTTTAATATGCTATCTTTTAGGTTAAAATATACCGGGCGTTCTATTTAAAAAATAAGGTTAAGTACACTTTTTTGCTGACATGGTATAGGTACTTATTTTGAATACAGAAAATTACTCAGCAAGCACTTACATTTGTAATAAACATTCTTTCGTGTTTCTTATCATTCTGATATTGCCAATTTTTGATTTTCCCTCGTATCTTTTAAGTGAGCAAATATTTTCAAATTTTGATTGTGCCATTTTTTAAGATCGACTCAAAAAGAGCACATGACACCTGTATTAGAAACTTTTTGGATAGCACTAAAAATTATGGAATTCTTGCTTTATATCATTTTTGAATAGTTTGTCTTTCTGTGTGTGATTTTAAACAGCTCACCTCCCTATTAGATTTATCGGATCATATAGAAGTTGTTCCATTGAAACATGCTCGAGATCCTTCTTTTTTAAACGTATCTGTAGATTTAGACCAGTGGATGTTCTCTAATGACTTTTTAACGAAATTCACTTGTAATAAATCGTTCGCTAAAATGTTGGAAATTGTTTTTATATCTCAATCCGTAAAATAACCTAAACGCCACTATCATTCCTACCCCTCGATCTATGGTTAAAATTTCAAAGAAATATCTCCATAAATAATAAAGTTGGCGTTGCGCAGGTCGTGCATGCGCACATCTAATTTATGCTATATGCGATTTGTGTGTTTTTACTAGAAGCGTCAATGGTCATTTTAAAGATAATAAGCAAAAAAAGTTGGCATTTTGCAGCGCGCATTTGATTTTTACTATGTGCGATGTGTTTTCCTTTACTAATCACATTTGTAGTTTTCGAGTTTGACTACATGTGATATGTTTTTCTTTACTAGAAGCACCTATGGTTAAAATTTCAAAGAAATATCTTCATAATTAATGAAGTTTGCACTGCGCATGCGCACATCTGATTTTTACTATATGCGATATGTTTGCCTTTACTAGAAGCATCTGTGGTTAAAATTTCAACAAAATATATTAATCAATAAGAAGGTTGCGCATGCGCCCATTAATCGTCAAGATATTACTTGGCTCAGGTGCCAGAGCTATAAGCTAGCAAATTCAAAAAGAGCAAACTAAATATATTGAAAACTGTAGTAGTTAAGGCCTCGGAGGGACGGACGGACAGAGAAAAAGACTGCAATAGCGCGGTGACAAAAAATGATAACAAGTAAAAAAGTTAAGCTCTGCGCATGCGAAATACGTCTTCTGACATGACTTCAATTTGTTTTTATAGTAAGCGCGTCCAAAAATTTCAAAAAATGCGTCAATACACACAATACACAAGTTGCGAAAAGGTGACTACAATAGCGCATTTTTTTAAAATTATGTGAAAATGAGCTGAAAATGGGATACACCTTAGCTAAAAGAACTGGAATAAACTTTTTGTATAGATCTAAAAACTGGTGCTAAATTAAAATGCTCGGTTCAGTTGCTGCAAATCCTGCATCAAGTCCAACGGTTACTATTGTACTAATGTACCTATATCAGAATTTATGGGAAGAACCAAGAGAAGCAGTGGTAGAACCTCTGATAGTCCCTAGGAGTCTAGTGGACGACAATGGGGGCATGCTGCTAAACGAAGAAAATTTGCATTTTCAGCAACTTCGACTGATTGGTCTTGGTTTAGATTAATTGTTAATCAGATTACCCATATTTGTCTTTAAATGTAGTGTCTCACAAGTCACAATATGGGTGAATATTACCCTTTTGAAGTGGGACTGAGGTAACCATCCATTAAAGTTCCCTTTAGCTATCTAAATGGATGTTTTTGTAATTTTTGATTTTTCAAATAGAATAAGTGGTTTGTTTTGAAATGCAAGTCCTGTGTATGAACTTTGGTATTTATATCTTGGACTTTATTTCACATACCTAAGTATTGTACATGTTAGTTGAGTGCCATTGTCTCTTTTATTTAGAAACTACTCTTTCATACTGCTATAAAGAAGAAAAGAAACCTTGAACTCCACTCTTGAAGCATGTCCGAAACCGCTGGTCTAGAAACACAAATTTGTGTAAAACTTCCTCTTGCAATATATATTTTGTAATACCACCTCAAAGACTACACATTTAAAAAAAAATGTGAACACTACAAACTAGAAATGACCCAGGAAAAAATGTACATGCTTTCGTCACGTTTAATAAAAATCAGCTACGCACCTGCTTGTTGTTCGTACTTGTGGATGAGGAATTTTTAATCTATCTAAATCGGGAGGTTCGGGGACGGCATGGAGTCGACACAATTCTCGCAGTAATATTGAAACTTGAACTATAACATGATTATCTAGTCCTTCTGTGTTACTCAAGACCTGAACGGCGTTTGTAATACTAGTTTCTTCGGAGTCTGCAAACCACACTGGAGGAACTGCAGGGTAGGTTTCCTTAAAATGATATGACCTATATTAGCATTGATTGCAGTTTTAATTATAAAGCTCAATAATGAAAATATCATGTAAAAAATCAAAATAGAACTTTCCCTACATACAAATGCGACGTTCTCAGCTGTTTGATCAGATACATATGTTAAATGTCAAAAAAATAAACATGGATTCTTTGTTATCATTAATTATTTGCATCCCAAGAATCGACTATAAAATATCGAATTTATGCCAATTGTCATTTGCGACGTACTTATTTAGTAACCTACCGTAATATTTGCGTGAATTTCGTATCTCTTTCCATTTTTGGCGATAAATCTACAACTTAACTCGTCCACACTGGCGGATAATATCTGAAATCGTTCATGATGTTTTGGAAAAATAGATTCTAAAGTCCTAATTTCTTGTTTAAGCGTGTTTAAACAAGCCATATGTTTCACAATATATTAATTTAAGCAGTTTTGTCCAGTTTTAAAATTATAAACAACACAAAAATATTAAACAGATTATTTCTAACTGTTCACTCCCTATATATCAAAATGGCCGAAATGTGGAAAGACAAGTCGGTGCAGCAAAAATTGTTCGTGTAGGTTCGAGCATAATCGTTTGCGCCGAATTTCAAGCAATAAGGGCATAAATTAGCGGGTTGAAACGGGACTTTATTTTATTGTTCTCTACTAGCTATGATACCATATTTCAGCTTCAGTTTACGGTAAATTTCTGTTTTAATACTCCAGCCAGTCTTTGATTTTTTACAAACGTAAACGTTATCAGGCTCACTGTTGATGCTCTGCTTTGGTCGTTCGATCAAATTAAATAAAGGGAAAGTTTTTTAGCAAATTAGGTAGTAAACTTAAACCTACTCTACCTACGCAGGTAGGTATACTTATTTAATAAAGAAATGTAGAATATCGGAAACTTTGTTTAATTTATTGCTATTCTAAAATATGATAACGATCGATCGGTATAGTAAGAATGGTAATAGTAGTAGGTAATAATAGCAATTGTTTCTCAACTTGTTACCTAAGGGTGTAGGTGTAGGTACCGTGTATTCGGTGTATTGTTACCTATCGCGTTCCAAGTTGGTTATGGTTGGCACATTCTGTTCCATTTACTTCAGGTGCAAAAACCAAAGAAAAAACAAATCTGAAAATTTCATGATCTATCGAAAAAAATATCATGGTCGTTTCACTACCGGATGTCGATAGTAACTTTCTTATTTTACAGTTGGTATGGTAGGGTTGACGTTCAAAGCCCCCCCCCCCCCGGACAATTTTAATTGTATTTTTCAAAATTTATAAAACCAGGCGGATGTTTAATTTTGTAGTGATTTGGCAATTTGCTACTGATCTTTCATGTGTAATGGGGAGGGTTTAAACCCTGTGAACCGATGTGGATCGATTACGATGAAATTTTCCAGGTGGATTCTTTAATAAATTTGTAGATCGGAGTACGTGAATTGGTAATATAGGTCAAAAAATAAGCTAGGCCCTTCTGACATCTCCGTTAGTTATGAACCGAATTGCATGAAATTATGTACGTAGGCATCTCGATGAAAAGTAAAACTATTGTCGAGTCAAAAAAATTTCTTTTGTACATGCGCAGTTTTTTTATTTTTTAAAAAGATATTTAAATGAAATTTTGTATGTAGGCGCATCGAATAAAAGTAAAACAAATGCCGAATCAAAAGATTTTTTTTACGCATGCGTAATCCGATTTTTTAATTTGTACATTTAAACGAAATTTGGTATGTAGACACCTCTAATAAAAGTAAAACTTCACCGAATTAAAAAATTTGTTATGCTGAAGATTCGGAAGAATGTTAAAACAAGTAGTGACAGCTCAAAACAATGCGAGAGCTAGCTTATTTTTTAAACACTCAATTTTTGTTGCTAGTTTCAATTGCTCTCGCAATTCTTCTATACTTTAAGATTGATATTTGAAAGCAATTAAACTGCATTGCCAATTGTCATCCGGTATAACAAAAGTATCCTATTCTATTCGCAGGGGAGCCCGACCGGGCAGCACTTAGGCACACCAGAGGCCCATTGTGCCTACCCCCTTTCTTCGCAACTGAGTTCAGAGCCCGTTCCTCTCAATGAAGGATAGGACCCTGTTTAGTCTAAGTTGCTTCACCCTCCTCGGTTCCAGGTATTTGTCTCCAAGGAGTTGATATCTGTCCCTGATCAAAGCGTCACAGTGACAGACCACATGCTCGGTAGTTTCATCTGCCTCGCCACAGAACCTGCACGTTGACTCCTCCGCGAGCCCAATGTTATGCAGGTGATAGTTGACCATCCAGTGTCCCGTAAGGACACCGGTGATCTTCCTAAGCTGGCTTCTATTCAGTTTTAGAAGCTTAGAAGACCCCGATTTGCCAAATGGCCCTGTTAGAAAGGCCTTGGACTCTCGGAGTCCGGTTACTTGTTGCCACTGAGCATGGAATTGACTAGTCAACCAGTCTTTAATCCTGGCCCTAACAACGGAGGGAGCAATCCCTAGGGTAGGCTCGGGCCCGACGAAGACCCCACCACTGCCTTCGCGAGCCAACTCGTCCGCCCTTTCGTTGCCCCCTATTCCGCAGTGCGCTGGCACCCAAATCAAGCTTACAGACTCACCTAATCTATCTAGGGTTCACCTGCAATCAAGCGCCGTAGCTGATCGGAACCTGTCTACCGACAGGGCCCTCAACGCCGCCTGACTATCGCTGCATATGTATATATGCTTATTGCGATAACCTCTACGGAGGTTTTCCTGTGCACAGGTCATGATGGCTAACATCTCTGCCTGAAACACGGTGCTATGCTGACCAAGGGAGACGCTGACGCTGGCTCTCGGTCGATCACCATATATGTATACCCATGCCCGTTCCCCTTTCTGTTTGGGACCCGTCCTCAGGTTTGAGGAACGGGCAATCCGAGTTCAGCCACTGCTCCCTATCCGGGAGAATGACTTTATAACGCTTTGGTCTTAGCAAGATAGCCCGGATCAAGTCCCTCCTTGCGAGGAGGGGTTCGGTTCCTGAGGGTTTCCTCCCAGATCCGCCCGTGCCCAAGGCTGCCTCGATCCTTCCATTCGTCCCAATCGTTTAGCCGTATGGAAGCTTTCCGAGCCTCTGTCCTCCACAGCTAAGTGTAAAGGCTCTAGTCCCAGAAGTGCCTCCATGGCCAAGGTTGGCGTGGTTTTTAGGGCTCCAGTGACTCCCAGACAGGCGAGTCGCTGGACCTTTCCTAGCTGCTTCCTGTAGGTTATCCTGCGCATGGCAGGCCACCATACAAGTGCACCATACAGTATTATTGGCCTTATCACTGCAGTGTAAAGCCAGTATACCAGTCGAGGGTTCAAGCCCCATGTACAACCAAAAGCCCTTCTGCATGCCCATAGACATGCAGTGGCCTTTTTGCTTATGCGCTCAATGTGCCCTTTCCAGGTCAGGCGGGAGTCAATGATGACTCCCAGGTATTTCACTGACCTGGTCAGACCCAGTTGATGTCCTCGAAGAGCGAGCCCAGTAAGATCCGCTCTCCTTCTATTCGTGAATGAAACAACCTCGGTCTTTTCCGGGTTAACGGAAAGGCCATGGCTACTGCACCACCTATCCACCTGTTCAAGAGCCCCCTGCATGAGCTCTTTCACGGTGTTTGGAAACTTCCCAGTTATGACGATCGCGAGATAGTCCGCGTATCCCTGTGTATACGCTCCCCCCTCGTTCAAGGCGCGGAGGAGCCCGTCTAGTACCAGGCACCACAGCAATGGAGACAATACCCCACCCGGCGGACATCCTCTAGTAACCGATGAGCTCATCTCCGTCATCCCAATTGAAGATATAAGATTCTGCTTTCGAGCATGGCTCGGATCCATCTTACGATCGACCCATCAATACCAAAAGCTCTCAGCAGCCTCACTAATCGAATCGAACGTGGTGTTGTTAAACGCACCCTCGATATCTATAAACGCTCCCAGAGCTATCCCCCCGGAAGACATTCCCTTTTCCAGCCTGCACACCAGGCTGTGTAGAGCCGTCTCCGTGGATATACCAGCCCTGTAAGCATGTTGGAACGGATGTAGTGGTCTACTAACCAGTAGGCCATTCCTTATGTATGCATCCACCAGCTTCTCCACCGTTTTTAGAAGAAACGATGATAGGCTGATGGGCCTATAGTCCTTCGCCACGTCATATTTAGCACGACCCGGCTTAGGTAGGTACACAACTCTTACCTTCCTCCAGCTTTCGGGGATATACCCTAAAGCCAGAGAGGCTCTGAAGAGATGCAACAAGTGTAAGAGCAGCGGATCCAGGCCCTTCTGTAGAAGAGCCGGGAATATCCCATCCGGTCCTGCACTCTTAAATGGGCTGAACGTGTTGACCGCCCATCTCAGAGATCCCTCGGTAACCACCCGGGAAGCTACCTTCCAGTTGATCGGCCTTACACCAGGGCTTGGCTGCCAGCCCCTTCCCGAAGGAAAGGAGCCACCACTCGGAGGTCGCCCGGTATCCGAGGGGCACCGTTATCGACACTGCACCCCAGTGCCACGCAGTCCTCGGCACGGTCGCTAACACCTTGACTTGGGAGGTTGGTCCGCGGCGACGACCTTCGTCGCTACCAGTCTGGGTTTTAGCCCCGACGAGCCACTTATAATCGTCACTACCCACACCGAAGCACGAGTCACGTACGATCATTCAGGTGTCTGTATGGGCTTTCCCCTATCCGCCACCCGGGGACGCGCGCGATGGGTGCCTAACCACACAAAAGTATAGCAGTGCAGCCGACCGTATTGTCAAAAAGTGTCCCTGCATTTACATTTGGAAACAAATTTCTAGTTTCTATTGTGGTTCTGTTCGAGAACAATAGAACTATGTGGGAACAAATAGAACTAGCAACAAAATAATTTATATAGAAAGAGATGCCGTGAGATACCTCTGTACTAAAGCAGAAAAAAACAAAAACTACTCAAATCCTTTGTACCTATTTCGTCTGAGATCGACGGGACTTCAGCGCATTTTTGTGTGGCAGATCAGTATTCTGTTAGCCAGTTTTGACTCCACCATCAATAACATCTTGTCGAAGGTTACCACATTCCCTTTGTCGGTGCCCGCTTCCGACATCCCGTTCACAAGATGTTAAAACTCGTGATAAAAAGCGTATTAAGAGAAGTGTCGGGGAGAAGGAATGGCTAATGAAGAGAAGCAAAAATGCTGAACTATTGGAAATGAAGGAGCAGAGCTATTTAAATGGGTAACCTCTTTGAATCAGAAAAAAGATACATTTATGTAACAAGCCATCCGCCCCCCTCCCACCGAGAGAGTATCCTGATAGTTTAGTTGCAATTTACTGCCCCCTTTTCTTCCTTAAGGTGCGATCCACAGATTGAGAAACGCGGCTTAGTATACCATGTATTCTGTATATAGGTACAAAATTCTTAAATTTAAGAGAGCCACCTCAAAGTCTCGATAAATAATGTAAATTTAAAAGTTTAAATTATTTTTTTCCATTTATGGCTGGGATAAACATTTTCCTTGATAGATTATGACTTACACATGACAGTAAACAATTTCCAGATAATTATTTCAAAGCGTTGGTGCGTTATTTTTTATTTACACATTCAAATTACCTTCGGTGTATAACCCTCTTAAGGGAAAAAATTCAAAATCCACGGTTTGCAGCAGCACAATACTAGCACAGTTGATATGGTAAATTCTTTTTCTGTAAGGATAAGACGAAGAGTGGGGTTAATCGACTGGATTTCCAAAATGTACTAGAATTACTACACTTACCTACATTTTAGATTAGGTATGTTGCAATTGATTCAAATTCATTCTACAAGCTTTTGTACGTGTTTCATTTTTGGAGAAATTCCTAAACTAAAGACTCCCTTTCACGTTTTTCACCCTATAGAAATATAAAGCTTGTCCTCCCCTTAAAAGAAATGTTATGATTCACGACATGTAAAGTTTTAATATCTAAATACTACCTGCAGTGTATGACAACATCCAGTCCAAAAAAATATAGCCACAAGGCAATTTTCTGGAACCGTCCATACCAAATAAGCATCTCGACCCGTAAGCCAGTAAATCAAAGAAAGAAGAAGAGAAATATTGTGTACCTACCTGGAATCCTTTTTTATCAAACGATCAGTGTATTCTGCTCCATAAAAGAAGGTTATATTGCATAAATGTAAAACACAAAAATTCAATTACCGACTAGCTAATTTATGCGAATTAAACCCTAAAGATAAGGGATACAATTGAGTAGGTGTGCGAAAATTATAGCGTATTCTTCGCAATGAAGTTACTGGTTGATGTACCTAAATCTTTCCTACTATGTACAAAGATTAATCTGGTCTGGTCGTCTGGATAAGGTATTATATAGAAATTCAAAGACAAGTTGAAGGATAAACGCCCCCGAAAGCAAAGTGCTATACATCTCCACCTCTCTATTCCTATAGAGATCGTTAATAATTAGATATACGCGAACTTCCTACGAATTGCCCATTCATTTCAGGGTCAAGAAACTATAATATCTAAAATAGTAAACGTGTTCTTTCTCATACTTTTTTAAAACGCTGTAATTTAGATGCTTCTCCAGAATTGTGGGAGCTGCTAGCACATATAGGGCACGACAACGAAAACTTTTGCTTTCGGATTATTTGCATGTAAAAAGATGGGATGGTATATTTTCACCGATAATCGACCGTTTCCAGATTTATCAGCGACCCTGTATCTAAACGGTTAACTTTACACCTTTAATTTTAAAGTGTACGCTACGAAAGAAGGTAAATAACCAGGGTGTGCTACTTTATACTTTAAAAAAAATTGATGGTCGTTTAACTCAAAATGATGGAATATTTAGCTGTGCGCCAAAGTGTGTAAATTAGCATTAAAAATGCTAACGATTGGCGAAACCTGCAGACCCATTATTGCATATCTACTTTTGAAGAATTGTTGTTGGTCTCTAAGCACATCTTCTCTTGGTGGTATCCGCAGAGCAAACGTTACTTTGTATGGCTTCTCTACTGGATGGTAGACACGCTAAATGGATCTCATGGTTACCAGAAACGTAGAGACGTTCAGACTGAAACACGTGTGATTAGATAAAGTGTGAATTGGGTTGGAGAGCAGGCATGACTTGCCAAATAGACAAGATTTTAGACAAGATTTGTCACAGCAACCGTAGAGGTGGAAGGTGCCACTACATATCTCAACTTTCACTTACCTTTACCATTTCTAGGAAGGTTGACCTTGTTAGTATAGTATATAGCCTAATCCGTTAACAACGAATTGCAAAGCGACGTCTTCTCTTTCATCATCATCATATCTTCTAGTGTTATTTTAACGAAAAACGGAAAAGTGTTTGCTTAAATTTTACCTGGTGTAGGTACTTCAACCGGTTCATACTTTTAACGGTTTCAGTTTTCAGACCTTTCATTAGAATACCATCATTGTATTTATACCTTACAGTACGGCCACGCAATGTTAAAAACATGCGACGCTTATTTGGGGGCCAGGAGATTAGTTCTGGGGGCCTACCAGAAAAGTACAAAATTAGCGCTGCGAACACTCGGTTAGGTAACTATAATAACAACAGTAAAATTACAGAAACCTGTATCTCACTTCGTATACGATATGGCGACACGGAATGACAATAAGCAAATGAAACTTGAAACTTGATACTCGTCCTTCACCTTCCTTTAAATAATAATTCATTTGAAGCGGAAACTCTGTCCTTAGTGTGGCATTCCAGACTAATAAGATAAAATGTCTGATTTTATTCGGTGGAAGACTGGAAGTAAATTATAAATTAAAATTATGTTAAAATGATTACGGGAAGGGGTATTGTCTAAAGCTAAACTATAAAGTATTTAATCAATGGATGGAATTTTAAAAATACATAGGTATACAAACATTTTTTTTCAATTTTTGTTAGTGTCCTTTTTCGGGTCAGCTCCATGTCGGCTAATAGTTTTTGTATATTTATAAGGAGGTACAGATTGATAATGCAAGCATTGCATTGCAAGTACATCACCGGACACTGAATAAGAATTTAAATGCATACAGAGAAATGTTGGCTCTTTGTTGCGATAGCCGATTTGTCTTTTTTATCACTCGAACGACAGTTTGAATGTTGAATTACACCATTATCATTGATTATATAAATATATCCTATGAACAATGCCATTATATATACATTATACAACGATCAAATTTGCTTGACCACATCGTGCATGATAAAATATGTGCAGTACACCCATAATTATGCCAGTAACAAAACCAGGAGCATTCATTGTTTATAATTCTTGATCTACGCAAGAATAGGCTCATTGTCGCTTTACGTTTGAAATTTTAAGATAAACAGAACACTGTTGTATTCCCATGCAATAAAACCATAAACACGAAAAATGCCAGTAGGTACGGCTTGAACTCTTTGATCCTCTGGCCAATTTAAGGTCTATCTGTATATTTTTTTGTTAAGCTTTACAGCTCTTGAAAAATGATAACACCGAACATCTGAAAAGAACAGGCGCTAAACGTGCAACTGCAAGTAATATTTCTAGTGTTCCGTTTCCCACCTAGTGCAATAGTCGTGTCGTTTAAATAAAACAATTGTGTATGTACTTTTTTTAACAACTTTTTAATAAGAACAATAATTATAAGTGTATTTGAGTTGCCAGCATTCCAGAATTATTAATTATGTCGGGTCATAAGTGCCAGTACGTTACGTGCAGCAATAATACTCGAAAATGTCCGGATTTAAAAATGTATAGATACATTTTAGCAACAAAGTGCAATTTTACTTTACGATAGTAATACTACAATAATATGCAAAAGACAGTGACAGTGACGATTTTAAATCCGAGACCGACAAGCAGGAAGTAGGAAATTGTTTTGTTTACTAACAAGAGGTGCCTACTTCAATCCTATTATTTTATAGAGGAACCCGCACGTACCTACACAGGCAGAAACCTTTAATTTTCAATTGTTCCGCTGGTTAGAGTATTTTATCTTTTTCAGGGACGAATTGCTAAATTTAATTTTTATTTTTGTTCAACAAATCTTCAAATACTTCGGGTTAATCCCTTAAATGCCCAGGAATTTATTTTTGACCATTCAATTAAATCCATTAAATCCTTGCCGCTAAAAACTTTCAATAAAACCTGGAACCTAACATTACAGGTATAGGTAACAATGAAATAAAATACTAATAATAAAGATAAAGAGCGTCTTTATGCTTACAATACAACTTTCATGTAGCAGTAGCATACGTCACCGGCATCCTGTTCGTTATTCGTTTGGTGAACTTTAAAACTTACACAAAGCGTACAGCATACGTAGCAAAAGAAAAAGATTAAATAGGCTGCTTTCAGAGACGTCTGTGGGGGAATACGACACTGCATATGGTTTACTTTTACGCTAAATTAATTTTTGCAGTGCGTTTTAGCGCCATCTATCTAGCTTTATTAACGCGTCGCACTTTTTGCTATACCGTGGCCATACTGGTAAGGTATAAATACAATGATACCATGAAGGGTAGAACATGTGTTTTCCCCCCCCCCCCATTTTCTAAAGTTTAACTTGGCACCACTAAAAGCATGCGTATGCAAAATCTGAGACCAATTGGTTGTCGTATGTAAAAGTTATGCACGTTTTACTTTCAAAAACAGCATCTTAGGAAGTAATTCATGAGGGGGCCCCCCTTTTAGACAGCGAAATTTGATGGCCGTCTGGCACACCTTCAAGGTATAGGCCACCTACTGCAAAAAATTACAGTACTAGGACCATTTCCCTAGAAGTAGTTCGAAACGGCAGAAGGGGGTTCGGACGGACGGACGGACAAAACGCAAACAATAGCACATTTTTTTTAATTCTTAGCAAATACGCTAAAAACACTAGAACGTGCTACGAAAACTACTTACAAGGTTTTTTCCAGACCAAAGCGATCTTATGAAGTTCTAGAAATAAAAAAAAACTAGAGGAAAAAACTTCTTTGAATGCTCTCAAAACAACGTATGTGTAAGCTTCTATTTCAATAAACTATATTTAAGCCATTTCTGTTTTGTTTGATTATTCTAGAAATCTAGACTCGTTCGACTAAAAAGGACTGTAGATATGACTGATGTAGTTGCTGGAGGTTGAAGAGACTTTTCAAAGCATTTGATGGCCTTCCCAAACCTTGTAGATACCCTGTAGAGTGCTATGCAATCTTTCAGAGTATTCTATCGCTGTACTACAGCTTATAGGAGCGTTTCCTGCTGTTTCGAATACCTTTCACGCTCGGAAGAAAAGACTCAAAAAATTTGAGAAGACGTACAAGGTGCCCGAGAAACAATTCTGGAAAAGTGCAAAAACTCTCAGGAATGCGCGTAAGTAGAAGATTATGAAAAAACCGTAGGGGCCCTTTGTAGTCTTCCAGAGTGTCTTAAGTGCTTTTTCAAAAGCTTCCGGATTATCTACAAGGCAATCTAACGATCTCTAATCTAATTCTATTTGCTTATAAAGTTTTTCTAATTGCTCATATTCAATAACACTGATCCATAAACTCGTAAAAATCGATTGACGAAGGTTTGGCATTCTGTCTCTTTTCGTTCTCGAGGACGAGGAATAGACGGACGGACAAAATCAACACATAAGGAGAATTTCTTTTGAAAAGTTTCCATAAAATGGACTACTAAAGCGTAAAATAGCCTAAAACCAATCCACAGCTCGTTTTATTGTTTGATAAGTGTTCTCCCAAGTTTTCTAGGTCTATACCCAAGAACAAGTCTAGAAAGGTCTGAAAATTGGCAAAAATGCTCTGAAATGCTTGCAGTGAAATGTCTCAGAATCTCTGGAAGGCGCAACAGAACTTTGTCCATGAGCTAAATGGGCCTAGAAAGCCCTGAAAAGGGACTTGATAGAGCACTTGGGTACCTATGGGATCGATGACCAATATCCTAATCGATAATAGTCATATACGAGAGAGGTATAACAAATATCTAAAAATATACTTACGCGCTGATTTTGTGCTTCTCTTTCACGTATACCTTACCCTCTCCAAAATAATTGCCTTAGAATATAACTACGTATGTATACCAAATCAATCAAGTATTTACATATAAAAAAAAGCATTTACCATAAATACACAAAAAAGGGACTCTTCGCATAAAATTGGAAACGGTTTTATCTGTTCCATCTTTTATGTAAATATTTGATATACTTGTGGTTACACTCGTATGTAGGCAGGTAGCTATACCTATTTCATTTCCTATACATTTAAAAATCAAATAATGATACTAATTGTCTACTCCCACCGAACTACACTCTAGGTAATTAACTTATAATTTATGCGAACGTATTATTTTTTCCCAAATCATAACTGCCCAAATAAATTGCTTTGATACGTTTTCAATTTATTTATGTCAACGTAGAATGGTAATCTGACATAAAATTCAAGATGTAACAGAGCGGTTAATCTACCCACCCTTTTCGAGAATTTTTATTGCGTTTACGTCGCGCTACTTCTGTATAAAATTCCTTTTTTGTAAATTTGCGAATTTATTCGAGCATCATCTCTGGTGGGGATATCTCACCAAGTATAAGAAGAGTTCAATCCGTGACATTGAAGTAAATTTGCCAATTGGTCTTAGTGAGATTAAGAAAAGGGTTGCTGCTGTATCTGCGATGGGGTTCAGTTATAAAAGAATTTTAATTTTGTCGATAATTATCCAAAGCATTGAGTGTGGAATTATTGATAAGGGTAAGTGGATTGATTTTTACATAATTTTGCGTAATTTCGAATTTCAAAACTGAAGTATCAATGCATTTAATGGTTTTTGGATCACTACGTTTTTTTCCATCGCGCCGCGCGGAATACATGAAATTAATTTTTCCACGAAACTCTAAAAAATCGTAAAGTGCGTTTTCGTAAGTCTCATTTGCCTAAATATAGGAATGTTGCACTGCTTTAGTATTAGACTAATTAATCTGTACCAAAACGTGGATTACGTTGCGACACAATGAAATGATGTAATTTTGCAGTAAAAGAGATTGCTCCTAAATAAATAAGATTCACGAAGTTAATAAACCCCACTAATAACAATGCAAATAATTTGCCATTTCAGAAATGCAAATTAGCTTGGTCATTTGTCCATTTCTAGATTATTCAAGCTTCTTACTTTGTGGGTTTAAGTAGGTGTTAAAGCTTTCAGGGAAACTGATCTGCCCGATAAAATTTATTTTTTTCTAAACTCCCACAATTAGATATATTTTTACAAATACAGTAAATGTACAGTTAACTATAAAAATAAAATCTATAATTTTAAAGGTTTATGACACGACCCGAAATTGCTGTTACAATAATCCACAATAGGCGAGTTATATCGTTTATTACAATACTTACGCTATTGATATAAAAGAACTTCTTGTAATGTTAATGTACTCTATAAAAGGCTATTAATTAACTTTGAAGATTTTTGTCGGACCGCAAAGTTTTTCTATTAGGTAGGCTTTTCGGGACGTATAATTGCATCTCTCAAATACGTGACCTACCTTGAACCGTACCTGTAGCATCTAGAACCCTGAAATGTCATAATTTGAAGGTATTCCTGAATAACAATTTAATTGCCTATTACGAGTGAATAGTGAACGCGATCAACGTGGAAAGGAACATTTATCTGTCAGGAGGCTTTGCTTGGTCATGGTACTTATCTAATCTTTAGTACATTCCTCTCTGCATTCGATATGGAGAAAAAAACTGAATAACAAAAAAGAATAGTATATTTGACCATAGTAAATAAAGAAGTAACCAATCGCGTTTCTTTCAAATTTTAAATTATGCGTTTATACCAAAGGTAATTTAAGTCTTGTAATTTTTTAAGCGAAACTATATACCGAGTGGAGTGGTTTCAATAGTAATTTTTTTATTTCTGATTATGGCTTCCCTAATTATTCTAGAGACAAAGTCTATTTAGGTTTTTTGTAGAAAAAAAAAATTTTTGAACTTTGAAACTCAGAATTTGGATAACTAAAAACTGGCGCTTTTAAGAAAATCAGTGGAGCCAATGACAGTTTGAAATCAAACAAAGCTAATTAATGGCAAATACAGGCGCTTTTGTTTGATTTCATAATTCCATAGCATTACCGACTTTATAAATGCGACAGTTTTTAATTTTTGAATTTCTACTGTTTCTGACTTTATAAAATAAGAAACAATAGTATGTACGGATACGTAATTTATCTAGGTACAAGAAACCTAAATAGACTTTATTTCTAAAATAATTAGGGGAGCCAATAATAATCGGAAATTAAAAAATTACTATTGAAATTCCTATGGTGCGTTCGTCAAGTCACCACCCCGTATATTATAAGTTTATAACATGCCTTTGCAAGGTAAATCTGCCTCTTTTGGTTAGCCCATTTATTTTTGTTTTGTTACAGAGTAGGTATGTATAATATCAAGGTATTGCAACAAATATGTCAAAATCTTTACAAAATGGTCATTGTAAATTATTTACTTTTAAGCATTTTCACTAGGTACCTACACATTTGCTCGCCCACATTGCCCGATGGATTGAGATATTTGTGTACACACTGTCACCTCCTGCAGTTTTTCTTTGTTTATTTTCGATTGAGATTTTCGCGACATGACGGCTTATATAGTCAGCATCGAGAAATAGTAGTCCATTAGTTAGCACACACTGGGGGTTAAGTACCTACTTATAGGCATTTAGGATTATTTACATTTCATTTTGTTCTATCCACACAGAAATGAGACGTAGGTATATTAATTGATTTAAATGGGTACCCAAAATAAAGTTAGGAACCAATGCCCGTATTATTTGCTCTGATGTGATACTTAGCAGTAACTAAACTATTATAGATTTGAATATTTTGTTCCAAGGCGTAATTCGCTATGGACTTACATTACAAAGGCATTCTTGAAGAATCACCAGTAATTTGTGGTGAATTATCAAGAAATAAGGTATTGTTGAGAATAAGAATTATGAAGATCATTTTTTGGTAAAATTGAGAACTTTTAAATATTCGCGTACGCATAAGGAAATACCCAGGTTTGGGGTAAGTTGTATGTCTGATTAGGTGAATACCTGGGTGAATATAAAAATAATTTGCAACCGAAATTGCATTGCATGAAGAAAAAATTGTGTTCCAGAAATTAACAAATTTTATTTTCTATGTTTAAAAAAGAAGGTACTGAAATAACACGAAATATACGCATATTGCGCAAAGGGTTAAACAAAGTTCCTATATATAGCCTGAAAACAAATGTAAGTCAAGGAATGCGAGACCAGTCGAAAAACTAACAAATTAAAACTATAAGAATTAGAGACTCCATGACGGAGTGAGAGGATACAGTATTTAGACAAAATAAATGATTCTTTTCTGTGCACAAAATGTGATGCCAAAAATGAACTGCTTTGGGCTTTTCAGATTCGGATCTTGGGATTTGCGCTTTGCATCTTCCGTACCTTCAGAAGCTATAAAGATTCTTCCGATTCTTAAATTGTTTGTTTTCAGTTCATTGAGATTCTTCGAATTGTTCAGGTCTGCAGTGTTATTTAATTTTCAAGAGCGTTCGAATGGTTTTGATCTTTATATTGAATATTCTTCTGTATATTTCGACCTGGAATGTTCTTTAAATTCTTCCAGGTCGTCAAAATGCTTTATTACTTCGGATTCTTCCTATTCTATGTTTACAAATTGTTCGAATCTTATATATTTTTTACATCTTACAGATTCTTCACAGTCTTGAATTTTTTCTAATATTTCAGATTCTCCCCTCCAATTTTTTAGATTCTTTAAATTTTTCACACTCCGACGATCCATCAGACTTTTTGGATTCCTAATATTGTAGATTCTTCAGACTTGCGTACTCCTCCTCGCTTCCGTTCCTTCAGACCCTTCTATTTTTCAAATCTTTATAGATTATATTTAATTATAGTAATCGGATTCTTCAGTTTCTTCAAATTCTTTCGATCTTTTAGACTTTTTAAATTCTTAAATTCATAACATTTTTTACATTGTTAAGTTTTCTTATATCTTTCAATTCTTCCAATTATTCGATATCGTTTAATTCTCAAAATTCATCAAAATCATTAGGCTCGGTGATTCTATTTCTTCTCTTAAATCTTCTCTGTTTAAATTTGCCGAATTCCGAGTTCTTATGATTCTGCCGATCCATGGGATACTGTAAATAATTTATTTAAATCCGGCAGATTCTTTATATTAGTAAAACCAAGAATAAAAACATTGCTTTAAATTGTTTTCCCAAATTAGTTCCCAATAAAGTAGACGCATTTTAAAATTAACCCCCTCTTCTTCTGCATATCAGTCAGTGAGATATTAAAGATTTTCACTAAAGTTCATTGAAGCATTTGATGACAGATAGTTTGATGTTCCAATAATAAAATAAATATAATGTATAAAAATTCGTACAATAATTACTTCTTCCTCATGCTAGTTTTAATGCTGGAAGGAAGTATGTACGTATTTCTTCAGTAGCGTAACATGGTACTTGGTAGCTACAGGGACACCGGTGTACAGTAACCACTAACCTTATGAAAAATCTTTGATGAAAAGTATAATTTTTCTAAAGTGTTATGGGACGCATTGGATGATTAAATAATAAAATACGCGGACGAAAAGCAAAAAATCTTTTTGTAATAGAAATAACAAAACTATTTACAAACTGTACTCGATCTAAGCTATATGGTGTTTGTACTCTCAACATTTTTGAGGAAATTGTAGGAAACGGATACCAATAATAAAGAATAATAAAGAACGTTTAAATGTGTTGCGGTGACAATTATTTAAATACTTACAAAGTTTGAAGGTATTAAATAGTTTTAGCTATTACTTACATTTAGCCCATCTATGTAAAAACCTTTTAAATAAAGTAATTTTACACTCGGTTTTGAACATATAATCGAGTTTTTTAATTTATCATTTGACTAAGGTATATGATAGATACCTTTTCCTACATCTATATTGTAAAGAGAAAATCACCACGGACATCAAATCACTGCGAATCACTTTCCGTCACACTGTGTACGAAGAATCGCATAGGTACGATTTTGATTAGGGGATTTTTTGCCACTCAGCTCGTATTCGGAAACCAGACTTTTGATCCGGTTCATAGTCAGTTGCGCTGATCCTTGAACTCGTAGAAATCGGTTGGCGAAGGTTTGACATCGCTATCTCTTTGCGTTCTCGAGGAACAGACGGACAAAAGCATCACATAACATAAGGGGAATTTTTTTCTTTCGAAAAATGGACGTTCGACCCTGCGAAAATTTGCTAAACGCGACAAATATCAATGAAAACTTGACCGACTACCGAGACTTTTCCAGTTTCACTAATACTACTGATTCCAAATTATCATGTTTCATAGAACTTCTAAGTTGTATATAGTAATGTTTCTGTCACATTGCTTGCATCGTGCGCACTTTTTCTACTCACCTGTAATACACACTATTACACCCTTATGATGACGTAATATACTATTTCGAATCTCCATTATGGAATGCACCAACTCGATGGGAATGTTGGGACAATTTTTACCAGATCGAACAGAGAATATCAAAAAATCTAGGTCAAGCCGTTATTCCATACTTCTATCTGTAATGGTTGTTGAGAAATTTTCTGAAAAAGAATTCGATAGAAATGGTTTTTGGACGTTCTTTGGAACAAGAATAAATGTATCGTCGTACAATTTTACAAGTTCAATACTTTGTAACTCTCTGGTTAATGAATTTAGTGGGCATTACCATTGTATATACATCTACAATGGCATTACCTTAAACTTTAAACATTTCATATACCTACAGAATTTCAGAAGACGCATCAGAACTTACTTACAGCACTCTATAAGAAATATTAAATAATCTAACTTAATGTGGGTGGTGGTGTCATAAGTCGTAGTCATAATCCAATGCAAAAAATTGAGCGGCTTATTAAAATCATGTATTTGTCTCGTGTGTATCTATTATTTGAACTTTACGATAGTGAAAAAAGAAATGAAGTTATAAGGAAAGTTTTTGAGCAATCGTCCACTGAATGTTTCTCAACCTGGGCAACTGTTGCACTAAATGTGTACTCGTTACGTTTTCAATTCTATTGTTTTCTCTTACAACGGCATTCCATATTTACACCCAGTCCCTTTGAAAATGAATGCATCACAGTAGGACTGGTGCCTTCACTAATTATATATTTTTGCTCGGTTTGTAATATTTTCGGTTTACATTCTGGACAACAGCGAATTTGAATACCAGTCGCCACATTGGGGGTATGTATAAAATCAGGTTCTGTTGATTTAGATACCTTTCCTTGCAGAGTGTCATTTTTATTTTGTTGTATAGCTAGATCTATAATTTCCTTCTCTCTAGCAATCTCTTTCAGTTTTCCCCTAATGGACTGAACGCTGGGTGTAGCAGGGCAACAAAGGCAACTAAAGTTGTCGAGCTTTTCAACCATTTGCATGCAGTCCACGCCTCGTTGGGTAATAACATCGTTCTGGTCGAGAATATCTTCCAGGGAAACAAGCAGTTGTTTCAATTCGCAAATTACTCCCTTAGAATCTTTTTGCACTAATCCGTTAGTTACCTGCCCCACAGTTTGATCCACAAATGCCTTTAAAGTGCATATATTCGTATTCGCTTCCGCAAGTTTCTCACGTAGCTTTCCTACTCTTGTTTGAATATGTTTGACTTCCATATCTGGCTGTTCCAGGCATTCATGGTACTGCTCATTCCGACCGTGCAGGGATGCTTGTGGTACTGTTCCATTTTTTTGGTGGTCAGGGTCAGATGGTAACACAGTGGCTTTAGTTAATTTTAAGATACCACCAGCACAACGCGCCGCCATTCACCTTAAGAAATTAAATTACTTGTATTGTATGCAGGTATAGATAAATCAACTAAAAATTTTGACCTTTGAAGTTTATTGGTATAGATATCTTTCACAAATGACACGTACTTTCTAGACTTCTAATGAAATTTACGGGTTATGGCTTTAGATTCTTCCAGAAAATCATTAGTTTTTTTAGCACAGAAACTAAGCAGCATTTTGTTAGTTACTTCTTAATTTGAACCAAGGTTTGGCTAACATCTTAATTGTGTGATTTGCCCATACTTCGTTATTGCACTGGTTTTTATTCATTTCCTTATCTACGCCATACGCGAATGTTGTAGTAAATTTAGATATAAGAAAGAGCCCATAAGTCTAACTCGAACGGTTTTTGAATTATTTTAGTTTTTGCGGAACTCATAACACAGACTACCTTTTATAGGGCACGAGACGAATTAATTATTTTTAGGATCTGCGTAAATAAAACAGAAGACCTTACCTTTGATAGCACCAAAAATTCAAAACTGCTCTTTCATTTATACCAACTCGAATGGTATGTAGTATCTACTGATGCTTACCTACGCATCTTCCTTTCGACAAACAACCGTACTAGAAATGTGTAGGTAAATGCAAATTGTACTCGCAAGTGTGGGTAAGACATGTGCTATCTCTACGCCGCATATGAAATGTGGTAAACCGTAAGGCACTCACTAGGTATGCAACATGGGAAGGGCAAATGTAATTATTGTAAAATTGCCAAGAAAACTGATTTAGTATTGTAAGATACGCAAACTGGTTGTTGCAGCGTCAGCCAGTTCTATCCAAGAACGAAACTCTTAAAAGTTACAATATACAAAAGCGACAGTTTAAGTGGTGTCATATATTTTTATCTAACTACAATATATATACCTATATAAATTTTAGACATGAAAAGGAACAAAACCCGCTAAAATGCGTTATTAATACCAGCAAGGTTGCTTATAAGAATATTACCTGCCAGAGAGGGTACGTTATTTTAATCAAATTTATCTTGTCAGATTAAATGCACAAGAATGCAGTTCTTTTGCAGTAAGATAATCTTTCTCATTTATTAAACTTATTCTCTGAAAATGTATTTTGTTGTAATGTACAACCGTAATAATTATACTATGGTACAACGTGGCACATTCGTTATAGCCATAGTTAGGCTATTAGCAATTAGAATTACTATCTAATTGACTAAATATAAACGCTCAAAGGTATGGAATACCATCTAAGCGTCAGCGTTAGGTATTACCGAAAAATAGCTTTTGGTTTTTCACAGATTTGGGGTGTAGCGTGTAAGTATACAATGAAAATATTTGAAGGGGTCAAATTCTACAAAATTCCAAGAGAATCGTGAGCGATGCTTCTGTGGTATACAGTAAGAACGCCATAAATCATTTTATCGTTTGTTTCAGCACCTATATTTACTAATGCACGTTTTTTATTTCCATTACAGAATCACGGCTTCACTCAGTTTTAAAGAAAGGAGCATCTGATGCGTCAAATAATGAACACATAGGAGAGAGCCTTTATCATCAATCCATTCCATTGTTCATCTCAAATCCTTCTACACAGGAACCTTTATTAAACTCTCAAAAGCATGCCATTCTATCAAAAAATAATGACAACATATTTATTAATCCTCAAATGCCCCTAAAGGTCCCCCTTCAACAGTTTTTCCAAGTTCCTCCTCAGGCGCCCGATTATGCAAGCAATCCTTTCCTTACGGGCACAGTACCACATCAACCACTCACCATTCCATCGACAACAACTGTACTCCCATCATATGAGAATAATCCATTCTTAAATGTGCACAACGAAACTTTACAGGAGTCTAATGTTATCCACTTAGTACCGAAGCCAATTCCAGTAAATACCTACAACCCATTTTTACATCCCGAATCATCCCAGACGACTTCGCATCCACCGATAACAGAGGCGTCGACCCTGAAACCCATCCTAATTAACATAAACAATCCATTTTTGAATCAACATGCCTCTACCCCATCACCTTCGATCAAGAAACCGGAAGAATTCAACCCACAAACGTCCACACATTTACCGATAGAACAACCACGGATACCTTTGCCTGCGGAAAATGAAAGTAAGCACTTTATCTATCAAATTATTTTCCATCAATTGAAATTATTTAGAAATCAATCAACTTCGAAGTTTCTGTGCCAAGCCCCGTGGACAATTTCCCAGCGACAGATGTAATACGTTTGTTAACTGTTGGGATTATGTAGCGGTGGAACAAACCTGCCCACCGGGATTAGTTTTCAATTATGCCGGATATTGTGATTACCCTCAAAATGTAGATTGCCATGGACGTAGTTTTGAAGGTAAATTGAAGTTATAATTAAGCATGGTGACGCCAAGTCGACGACAAATTTTGGAAACTGTATGTTTGTTTAAAAAATTGAATGAGTGTTTAAATTTAGTTGTGAATGTGATGTGCTTACTCCAAAACATCTTGTCTACTTCCACGTTACAAGGTTTCGGGAATTAACGCGGTAGTCCTTTGGTGGCCCTTTGTTACTTTGTTGCAATGGTAGCTATGACGCTAATGTAATATTTTTGCATTGTAGAAGTATTGGTAGTTCAACCTCCTGAAACAGTTTCATTGGTAATCAGTGGAGAGCAGCACACGAATCACATCGAACACGGAAATAAGCCAGTTCATCCTTCAACTCCTTGTAACCATGTCGAAGTTAGCACGGCAGCGCCTATTGAATATGTACCTAAGCCAGGTAAAAACCATGTCGTAGTTCAACCCCCAAATACTTTAAATGGATTTTCAGTTGATGCACGTTTGAGAACGAAATGTTTACGACCCAGAGGTCAGTTCCCAAGTGACGAATGCAATAAATACGTAGAGTGTTGGGACGATAACGTTGCTGAGGTTGAGTGCCCTAAAGGGTTGTATTTTTCTGAAAAGGGATACTGCGATTATTTATACAACGTCAATTGCCATACTCGCACAGTTGTCAGTAAGTGCATTTTGCAATCTACAAAAGCTCGTTCACTTATATTATTTTTGCAGGGGAAGAAATTGCTTCACCTTGTCCACGACCAGATGGAAGCTTTAGAGACGTTGACAACTGCAGGAGTTATTTTGTATGCATTTCTAACGTTGTTGTTGGCAAACATGAATGTCCTGTCGGATTGTATTTCAATGACGTAAGATACCCACTCAAGAAATATGCCCTGTAAATAATTTCAATTTTGTAGATTATCGGAGTTTGTGATTATAGCCATAATGTAAATTGCAAAAGAGAACCATTTGTATATCAACAGCCACAGACTGCAAATACAGTTCAAAAAATACCGGCTGGTAAGTTTGCCCTAGTTCACAATAAACTGAAGAACAGCTTCTTTAACAAAAATAATTTTTCTTTGATTTTGTGACGACTTACTAATACTCAACACGTTAGAAGATTCTATTCTTTCGTAGTATGTACCTACGAGTACTTATAGTGTAGGTGTTATCGAGTTATCGATAATTTGCTCGATTTTAGGTATACTGGGTGCAGTTAAGGATTGCCAACCTGGGAAAGTGTTCAGACTAAACAATGACTGTTCAAGTGCAGTTTTATGTAGAAAGGGAGAAACAGAAGTAGTATATTGTCCTAATGGTTTAGCTTACGATGCACCTTCTGATAGATGTTTACCTTTACAAATAGCAAAATGGTAAGATGGTAATTTCAGCAAGTACCAAAATCGAGGTACTGTAGCACATCCCATGCCAAAAATTTAAATTCTATTCCTCTCAACGTTCTGATCATAGATTAAATGGTTCTGATTAAGGGATTGCTCAGAGTGGGGGCGTTGCGTCGCGTCGATCGTAAAACAATCTAATGTAATCACGCGCAAAATTCAGGGTGGTAGCGACCAACGCCGCGTTAAGTCGCGGTATGTGACGCTCCTATTATATAGGGCAGTCACGACGCTTGACGCAACGCTGTCCCGACGCTCGTTACTCTCACTTTGAACAGTCCCTAAGACTATATAATTTGGACGTAAACTAAAAACTTGATTTTCCGTGTTTGTTTTCCAAAGTAGGAAAAAATTATTGAAAAATAATTTATTATCGACTATTATGTGTAATTTTAGATTGTTAATATGTATGATCTAAGGTCTTTTCAGTTGACATAGCTTCATTGAGTAATTCTTCACTCAACGATAGCTTGATGTATCTTTATTACAAGATTTCCTCGCAATAATGCTAAATACTATTCTGTATTATGTGTAGTCTACCATCAGGTACTTTAGTATGCAACTTTTGAATTTTAAGCTGCGATGGAAGTGACGTCTACAGTAACTTGAATATGAATTTTTGTTTATAGGTTTATAATAGGTATTCATATTGATTATTTTATATTTTTAGCGATGTCGCTTAGAAGATAATGACTAAGAAGAACCAGATGCGGGATGCAGTTTAGAGTTCACGCTAAATTATATGGTTGAAGAAATCCAATACTTCTATAGAATTACAATGAAAAGACTGAGCATTTTACGAAATATTTAAAAACATACTTTTTTTCTAATATTTCGTCAATTATAGAATAGTTGCTTCAGTGTACTAAGCAACCTTTCTATTGGGGGTGTGGTGGTGGTTATTCAATTTTGGTCATCTAAGAAGTTACGTTTGACAATATAATTTTGTTTTTGTGAAACCAAACTGTATGGTCTCCTAGTTTGTACACATGCCATAGTAATATAAATATAACGATAAAAATAAAATCAATCCTAATAAGCGAAATGAATAAACAATATTTATATTTCCATTCATTATTATTGATATACCCTTGCCACAGATTTAAACACTCTAAATCTATACCCTTACTTAAAAATCGTGTCTTGTTATAAAAGAAAGGTCACACGAAGCCGTTGTACCTTATTAACGAGCTACTAGCGAGTTTATGATTTTGAGGTGCCTGTCCGTCCGTTAGCATGATATCTCGATAACGAATTGACCGATTACGATGAAATTGCAGGTGCTTTATAAAATGTTTAGATCGGAGTTCGTGAATTGGCAATGTAAGCCAAACAATAAGGAAGGTCCTTTTGAGATCTGCATTCGTTATGAACCGAATTGCACGAAATTTAATATGGGCATAGCTTTAGCCATATACTAACCAATGCCAAAAGTTGAAAATCTAACGCCAGTTTCAAAAGTTGGTTTTGCGCATGCGCAGTGCCAATTTTCTTATATATGAAAGCATTTAAATGAAATTTGATACATTAACATAATTATGCACTTAGAATAAAAGCAAATCTTCCACGTTCAAATTTGGTTTTGAGCATGCTATAGCCATACTCAGGAGCTCGTTTGCTATATTTGTTTACACGTTTATTATTCAGACTTATAACTAGGAATATTCTTATTTAGAAAAAGTGTACAGAAGTAGGTAGGCTTTTTTCACTGCCAGGAGGGAGTCGGACCACCTGACTTCCCCGCAGTACAGCGTACTGTAACTCAGATTTCCATTAACTACAGAAATAGTGGTATGAATGACAACCTTTTTGCAATAAATAAAAATGAAAGGATGAAAACACGGCGAAATTTTCGAATAATGTTGTCATAGACAATAATATAAAAAGCTTTAGGTTTCCTAAATTTAAACTATACCGCAATGTGGTACTTCTTAGGTATTAAAAATTAACAATACAATAATACTTTTTTCCATTGTTTATCCCTTTTTAACGCATTTTTTGTTCAAAATGTCGCTTATTTTTTCATTAAATATCGGCTGTTCAGACGCCTTTTAAGCTTACTTATACATTGATCGAGATCTCCACAACGAAATACCGTACAGTCTTGGGGTTTTCAGCATTAGGCTCGTAATATCGAGTTAGTCGTGCATCGATTACTCAGAAAGCCTAAAGCCATTACTATAATTTATGAATTTGACAAAAGAACGTTTGGATCGATCGAAATTTCAAATTTTCGTAACAGAATGTCGAAGATCTTTCGGTGTTTCAAGATTAGATGTGTACAACCGTTGAGTGAAGGATTCCTTCACTTACTTAGCTTATAAGCTACTGATCTGCCACATCAAAAATGCCATCTAGTGATGGCACATCATCAGAGACTTTTTTAAAACTTGTTTAAAGATGATGTCGAAAGGAAATGACATTAGAATTTGACTCGAATTAATTTAAACGTCATGAAGTCGAGGAGAACCAAACTCATCCTTTGGTCTTCTAAAAAATCCAGTGGAATATTTCTGAGCAATCTCGCAACACCCCTTATTCCTAGCCTTATTCTACACTGCACTGTCCTACTATTAATGATTAATTTTCCATATTTTGTTGGGCATTCGAATAATCGAATATACAATTTAACCCGGGTTTCGGTTACGGTTCTTACGTAGGGTGCAAGCGCTATTCACTTAACGCCACAAGGCTTTCAAGAAATCAAATATTGGTGTTATCGCTCCAAATAACGGTTTCGGTATGGATTCTTGATATTTTTGCGGCAACAGCAATAACATTTAATTACATTTTTAAAAAATGAAAGAGGGTGCTAAACCTAAACCAGCTAAACTACAGCCTTATACCGTCAAACCCGTGATATTCTCTACAATTTCTATATATTATCTTAGTGTAAAGAATAGAATTACACTATGATATTATGTGACACTCTTTTCATAGTTATTTTGTATATTGTTGGTGCTCATAAGGAATGTCCGTCAAACCAAAGAGTATACAACGAACTTTGCTCAAACCTAATTTCTTGGAGGGAAAAAAATGGGTTTACATATTTTTAGCGCATTTTTGCAAAAATTTTTTTTTGTAAAAAGTAGCTTTTAATCTCACTTTGGCTGGCTGGCTGGCTGGCTGGCAGTAAATGCGCGCCCGTAGAAAAACGCTTGTAAAAAGACAAGGAGTGTACATGTAACTATCGGGGCCGTGTAATTAAGAACGTTAGGGATGGGGCTACAAGATTTGGAGTCGACGACATCTGGACGCCATCCCCGAGCGTATTATACTAACCTGGAGATTTTTCAGTTTTTATCTATCTTCTTCTACAGTTTTTCTCCGATTGTTTTCAAATTGGTGTCGTCGGGAAGATCTTGTCAACGCGCACAACTCCTGCGTGGCGGAATTTTGTTTTTTTTTCCTAGGGGCGAAATAAACCACCTTTTGCGCGGCGCGCTTCGAGGGGTAGTCGACTTTGGGCGCCCAAAAGTTTCTTACAGCGCGAATCGCGGTCTCTCTTTCTCGTGTCACTAATAGAAGGTCGAGCTATGTGAAGTACCCAAAAGTTGAATACGATTTTATGCCGGGATTTTAGCGAAATCTACCAAAATGTGAATTACGAATGAACGGGACGTCGGAACTGTGTATCGACAAAGGGAATGTGGTAACCCCCGACGAGATCTTACTGATGGTGGAGTCAAAACTTCAAACGGTAAGTGAGAAAATGGTACCGACAAAGTGAACGTGGTAGCTTTCGGCAAGATCTTATTGATGGTGGGGTCAATATTGGCTAATAAAACACTGATCTGCCACACAAAAATGCGCTGAAGTCCCTTCGATCTCACACGAGGACTTTGATAATTTTTTAGACGTTTTTCTAACAAAATTATATACTAGGTATGGAAAAAAATTATTACGGATCTGACTTCCATTATATCTATATACATGGCTAGAAATATAAACAGTTTTGGGAAAGTGGGAGATACCCACACCTACAGTACGAGGGGTAAGGCTAAATTTCCATAATGAAGCATCACCACCGGGAAATACTTTTAGCATCTGAACCGACTGTTTTTACAAATGTAACTGATGCGGTCATACTGTCTAGCAATAATAAGGAAAAAGACAGCAAAAGCGGAAAAAACAGGTCATCGTGTTTCATTCCTCCGACATACCTGACTACAGGGACGCCGAAGGGCTGCTCAGGCTTGCCAGAGCCTCTTCAGCCAGAGAACGGGAATGTAAGGATAGTTAAAGTTAGGGATGGGAACGGAAGGAACGGAGTTAAGGTGCTGAGGGGGAGAGTACTGCTCCAGCATTCGCTTCAAGGCAAAAGCAGAAGCTACTATCAGTCTAACTTTATCGCTATTGGATTTAAGGGTTTCTATTAAAATCAATTTGACAAGTAGTTCATATGTTTATGTTTTCGGGTAATAAAAGATTCTGAAATTATGTATATGCATCTATCCATTCCAGTATGTATATTTCAAAGAAAATTATTATAGTAAATTATTACTCCGAAATAGAGCCTTTGGTTGGGTTTGTAAAAAATATCTAATATGAAATCCTATTTATAACCGGTATTTACAAATATGACCTTTTTATCATTTCTAACAGAAAAATGCCTACGATCGTTCATGAGATGTGAACACTTCAAAAAGTACAAGATTGCGCTAGTAGGTACCTATTGTGATAGATTCTAACGCAAGAACATGAAACACCTTACAAGGTAGTAATTTTTTTAACAATGCGTGCATACAGCAAGACCGATACAGAAGTTCCTATGAACGTTTTGTTGATTCTGTTGAGAGATAAGTATGTATAGCCCTGATGTAGCTCTTGGTAATTATCATTTCAATAACCCACCTGAGCAGCGCGAAACTCCATGGATTAGCGTACCACAAAAACAATTTGGCATTTTGATGTACCTAATAACAAGGACAAAGGTAATGTCGGATGAGGTCTACTGTTAAATGAAATTGAACAATTAGGTCTTCCACTTTTTAATTTCGAAGGTTGTATAATAAATAGTACATACATCCATACATAGACATAAAGAGCAAAATGCGCTAAAAATAAGCTTAAAGGAATGTGCAAAAAATAAAACCAATGGATGCAGGTATTTTCGATAAACGACATTAGCCTTCCAAGAATGGCATGAGTTGTAGTTATTATTAGAACATTATTGAAAATTATGCGACCTTTAAGTCGAATGTTTTAATAATTCAGAAATTCTTGCTCTGACGCTGCTAATAATATCAGTCTCATTTTCAACGCATTTGAATATGTTTTTTGCAACAATTTTGGTATCTGTGCTTTCCGATCTGGATGAGTCTAAAAAAAAGGGTTTCATTCGACGCTCCACGTATGTTGCTGACAACACTACTTCCTCATGCGGAATGCATGAGTATAATCACCTGCATGCCACACCCTGAGGAGACTACCTTGATCTAATTTCTGTACTGCATTCCGCGGTCACCGCTTGACTACCTTCCTATAGTCAACTTCCTTTTGCTCTAAAAAAATGCGATTACTAAAGTGAATTCGGCTTACGTACGCTTTATAGTAAAAATTATTACTTAGAAACGACCAGTCATTCAAGGTCGTATTGAACATTATTCCAAAATTATATCACACAATCAATTTTAACTTTCACTAAATTCCTAATAAATTTATTAGTATATGGTTCAAGTGTTAATTAAACTTATATAAATTGTAAAATTAATTCCGCAAATTTTCTCGTATGGGAACAGGTAACTGTATAAGTGTACAAGGGAGACCTATTGATATAGTTTCGAACTAAAAAATATTGTTGTTATTGTTTTTCCGATCGATTGATATGACTTTTCCTTGGTGGTGTCCCCACATTGTACCATAACTACCATATGGTAAATCGATAAAGGAAAATATTGTTGAAAAATTTTAAGATTGTCTCTACGGATTTGATCAATATTCGGGGAATGCGACATACACTTTTCTGGCAACTTTGAAATACTTCATTAGACGTGCATATATAGTTGACATCCGTGCTCATCTTCGTATCTACTC